TATATATATATATATATATATATATATATATATATATATATATATATATATATATATATATATGGGGATGAGGGATTTTTGGGGGGTTCGAGAGATAATGTAATGGGCAATTTCTGGAGGTAATTTATTTGCATAGAAATGCAATACAGTGTACTCATTAACTAATGTTCCAACTTTCCTTTTAAGGAAGTCTCATAATTAGTGTATGTTAAATAAATATATTACTGTCAGCATTAGTATGGAAGTGAAGAATGCAACTTTGGTGAAGTTTTGTTTAAATTTGGAGGTCACATTTAAAGCAATAAATGAGTGAATTTACAGTACCCATATGTCTCATAGAGTTCATCTTTGTTACAGAAGCAACACAGAAGAATTGGGCAGAGACCCAAGAGTGCAGTCTCCTCGAGGAAGAGGTCCCAGAGACATATCTAGAGAGCTGTCCCGAGACATGTCAAGAAACCCTAGGGAAATGTCTCGGGATCTTAGGGATTTGACTCTGGACCGTGATCCACCCAGAGAGACTGATGATATGCACAGAAATTCACGTGACATATTCCGGGGGCGAGACATTATACAGAGCCCAAGATCAAGTACAGAATATCCTTCTAGTCCATGGGTAAGGGATCAGTTGCCGGTGTCTGAGATGCGAGATCCTTGGGACCGTCAGGGAGAAGTGGATGCATCCAAAGACTCACGAGATATGCACAGCAGTTTTTCAGATGCAAGAGAAAGTTCAGATTTGGATCATGATCAACGACAGAGAAAGGGGGATGTTGATTTGCGAGTGCTACCAGGGGTTGAAAATAATAGAACTGAAGGTTCAAATGTTAAAGGTTTGCGGTATGACACAGACATGAGGATATCAAGTGAACCATCAATATATGATGTAGATTTGAGACAGCTGAATTTACCAAATACCTACAAAAGCAATGAAGACGAATTAAATTCCTTGCCATTTAAAGTACCAGTGCATACTCCAGCAAAAGAAATTGTTGCTTCAATATCCTTTCATTCACCTATGTATTATCAGCTTGTAAAGGTTATCATTCCAAAACCAAATTATGCCAACCTTAAAATTAATAAGGATGATCCAAGGATTATGGAAGACCCTAGGCTTCGAAGAATGCTACGCAGAAATTCAACTGAGGAGGTTGCTAATCGGAGCCCACGAGCACCTTCAAGGTATGATGTGGAAAGTCCAATGAGCCCCCCAGGATTTGGTGCTTCTAAAGGGGACTTAAGATTTTCTGACTCAGATTCTAGAGATTCTAGAGATTCCAGAGATCCAAGAATGTCATCTTCAAGAGATCCAAGAAGTGAAAGTCGGACAGATTCTCGAGGTGAAACTCGCATTGAACCCAGAGTTGATCCTCGAATGAATACTAGAGCTGATCCTCGTGTTGGAAACAGAAGTGACCCAAGAACTGATTCACGTGACCCCCGAGCGGAACAGTTAGGTGATATGAGAAATCAAAATCCCAGAATGAGTGGGATGTTTGGAGGTGGGAATGGTGGGGGCATGATAGAGGGGGGAATGCAGTTTATGAACATGGGACCTGGTCCTGGACCTGGACCTGGACCTGGACCTGGACCTGGACCCGGACCCGGACCCGGACCCTTGGGTAATGTGCTACCGCGTGGTGTAGACCCCAGGGGTAGGCCAGGGTTGCTAGGCCCTGCGCCAATGGCATTTCCTTCAGCAGTACCACGTCCGATGGGACCAAGGATGCCACCATTTATGATGGGTCCTAATGGAGGGTTTTACCCTGAAGACACTGGAGATATGATGCCTGGTGGAGGTTTTCCCCAGGGAGGTCCAGGATGGGGGGGACGTATGCCTTCAAGTGATCCTCGGTTGCAAAGAGACATGGGAGATGGAAACAGATCATATACTCCGCCTCCAGTGTCCTAGTGATCAGTGGGCAGTGCTCAGTGCAGTTACCTTTATAACTCTGTGATTTTAGCAAATATGGGGTATTACTGATTCTAGAATTAACAAATTAAATGCCAATAAATGTGGGTCCTCATTTCTGATTTTGCCTAATAAATAGGCTATGATCAAGTATATAACTTATGCTTTCTCCCTTTTGTGTATATATATATATATATATATATATATATATATATATATATATATATATATATATATATATATATATATATATATATATATATATATATATATATATATATATATATATATATATATATATATATATATATATATATATATATATATATATATATGTGTGTGTGTGTGTGTCAGTTGTTATTTGTTTGTGTTGTTGGATGTAAACGTTCTGTTGAATGTTTACGTGTATAGTTACAGTGTAACCCTTCTCAATCTGTATTTCTGATATCATACAAGATCAAAAATTTGAAACATGTGACATTGCTAATTTTTTAACTTTCTTTCCTGATGATGCAATGATTTGCATCATTGAATTTGGATTATTTTTTTTTATAATTCATTTATGTTATAGTCTTCCCTTGTGTGCAGCTGTAAGCATATGTTATTGTGTGTACTGTATACAAATAATTACAAAACTGATTTTTTTTCAGTTATCATTTCTAGTGACTTAAGAAAGAGGCATGTCAAGTGTTTAAAGTACGTACAGTAATTTAGTATAATTGTCATATTCTTATTTGAGTACAAAGGGATGTAATCCCACATAGACTGTTGAAGGTTTGAGGTGTGTAAGATTTATGATATTGAGGCATTTATAAAGGGTACATTTTCATTCCTGTCTTTGCATTTTTTTTAGAAACATTCAATTTTTTTTTACTTCTTCAGTTTATTAATATAAAGACATCATCATACTGATCCAATAATTTCACCATACAGTATTTAATTTTTATTTAACATTTTTGGGGTTAGCACTCTGAAAATACATACCGTACCTGTAAGGTATTTGAATATTATGTTAAAACTCAACATTTGAAATTTATTTTAAATCTATGAATATACAAGTCATTTTTATATCTGATAAATATGTATATAATCCCTTTAACTGATATTTTCAACTTCAACCTTACAGATTTTTTTTTAAAGGAAGTGAAAATTTTTTAAGGTGATAAGACGAATCTAACGATATGAACTATGAGAAGCTTTATTTCTCAAAGGCTTTCAAGGCGAGGATAGAATAGAGTTAGTTGTAACTCACAGGCTGATTAGTTTCACAATACTTTACTGTACAGTATATTTCTTCACTCCATATGTTATTTATTTGCTACCTTTTCTAATGGGTAAATACTTTTTATGAAGGCATACTGTCACCTCACATCATGCAGAAAACATCAGTTTGCAGGAAATAATTTAAGGTCACAAAATTTATTCTCAACTAATTTTGTAAGTCTGGAGTCATGCTCACAGCTATGAATAGTCTAACTTATATCTCACAGTGCCCCTCTATTGTGCCACAATGTAACCAAAAATTAATTGTTTACAGAAAAATGTAAACTTTGTTTACAATAAATTGTATGTTGTTTGCTGCTGTGTATCACAAGCTGCATGTACCATACAAAACTACTCTGTGATGTTTATTTGAAATTCCCATTGTTCTTTTAAAAATGGATGGATCGTCCTTCCCCAGTTGTTTGATTTAATTTTGACTTTTAATAGTGCTGAGAATTCTTACTAGATGAATAATGATATGTAACGTGCATGATTAGAGCAAACAATATTGTACAGTCAAAGAAAAAAGTCGTATTAAGCCCTCCATGACAAAGAATTTAGGTAAAGTGAGTGAAGTTTTGAGGTTTGACTCTAAACTGGGAACTTTACCCAAATTCTTCATCGTGGGTTTCAGAACATAGGCACGGTAAGTGTAATGCAACTTTTTTATTTGACTGTACAGTAGCTAAAAGAACTATCTGTGCATACTTTGTGGGAAACAATATGAGACCATGGACGATAAATATTGGTATATGAGGGCTGTCACTAGTCACATGTAAAATTTTGGAGCATATCGACCCCCACCTGCACAGATAGTTGTTTTAGTTACTGTACATGCATGAATTAAAAATTGAAAATTGTAGGATATGTACAGTATCTCAAAAAAGTATCTCGACATTGTGTGAAACATTATGAGACCACATATGGTAGATATTGAGACATGCATTTACTTTGGTGTGATTATTATGATGTTCGGTTTCCAAATGTAGTAGGATCAGTATGTCATAGAGCCACACATACCAACCCTCCCGGGACATCAGGAGTTGCATGTAACATTTAGGAAGTCATCAGACCCATCCTGGCAGATACTTTTTTGAGATGCTGTACAGTCAAAACAATAATCGAGGGACAGGGAAAGTGTTGAAGTCAGGCCAGTGAGTAGCAGGGCACCCAAACGAATTCCAATTCCCCGCCTCCCCCATAATCACTAGTTACATAGTTGTAACTATCACAGACCTTAAGTTCCGCCCACTTGTGGATCAGCTGGTGTAATTTCAGTTTTTTTATCCGTCATTTGAATGTTTATATGCACACCGAGTAAAAATTGTACTGTATACTGTACAAAGAAAAATTAAGTTGAATCATATTTAACATAACTGACTTGACTAATGTAAAATAATTCCAAAGCATTGGAATCAACAGGCAACTACAAATAATTTGAGCTAAGCTGACTTTACACCTTCGAAAATCAATTCTTATCTCGGTAGGTTAGTATTACAATTACAAGGTTACAATTAAATTGAAATCCCATTAAATTAGTTACTACTACCTCTGGATACAGTCTTGTCTATTACTATGATGGAATGCATAACTATTTAGTTTTGTGTGAATAGCGAATAAAACTGAAGCATTTGAAGGCAACTGGCAAAGACAGTTACGAGGAAAAGCTTATCCCTACTCTTCAATCACTATTCAGACTGGATAATTAGAAGTCTACATTATGAATACTGTATTGTACATAAACATAACAGCTCTCTTTATGTAGTACTGTACAGGTAAATACTTGTACAGTAAAGTATACCTATTGGCGACGAATAGGAAAATTGTGCATGTGGCTCGTAAGATGATGAAACCTCACTCCTAACTCCTTTCTTCCTTCTTTCCTATCCCCTCTGTCTTGCCAGCTTCCTCTCTGCCTGTCCCATTACTTTCTTCCCTATTTGCCCCATTTTTTTAAATATAGTACAGTTCTTTCCTTCAACATCTAATTGGGCACCTACATTTTGTTTTAGGCAATTTTATACCTTGATTATTATCATGCACACAAGTTTGAAAATTATTATTTGCTGATAAACTTCATAAATACTGTAAATTCATAACAAACCAAAGTAATAAAGTGGTGCATTCCTATATTCTACTGGTCAATCCTTTAGTGGTGTGAAGCAAACTCCTGTTAATTTGGTCGAGAAAGATATAATTGACGGCAAGTCCATCATAATGCATTTTGCATTAATGACTATTTCCCAAAAATATTAATCAGTCTGATTGATATCAAGCACAGAAAACTCTTATCTAGGATCTGTAACAGAGTGCAGAATGCCATGGTTTTGCATCCTGCCGCACTATAAATGAGTAAGGTCTGTTGTTGGGTGCCTATCCCCAGTAGGTATTGACATGTTTTATTGCTGTGCCCAGATCCACCTAAATGTCATAAACAGTCACCAGCACACTTACTCGTACGTTTCCGAAGATGAATGATAGAAATTAAATATTTAACAATAGCTAAAGTAGTTTATGGAGTGAATACTATACTGGTACAGGTACAGTAACTGGATTATTACTATTGTCAGACATGAGGAGGTGGAAGAGAGAAGGATGTGCAATAAAAGTAGCATAGAAGAGAAAAATGGGAAGTAAATTAACGAGGAGGGATATTTCTCATCGCTCACATTGAACATAATCAATACATAACTCATAATTTTGCTCATTCATAGTGTTTACTATAACCAGTATATAAATTTCATCCACACTTAAGTCAACCATATACAGTGCATATTAAACAGTAAGGATATAGAGAAGGCTTTAGGTAGTGTCACTTTTATTTATGTATATATTACGTATATTTACTCAGTGTCCACTCCATCTTTGGAGTCCACCAAGCAAGAGCAAATATCACTTCCTCTGATGGCAATAGCTAATTTAGCTATCCATCCATATTGCCTCAAGAGTAGGCAGATCTTAAGGCCTGTGATAGTTCCAACAATGTAACTAGCATTTTATTAGGATTGTGGAGACTTGAGATTTATTCAGGATGCCTGGATTTTCACTGGCCTGACTGGAGGCGCCTACCCTGTCCCCCAATTATTGTTTTCTTACTGTACAGAAGATCTGCAATTATTTTTGAGCGGAATACACTTTGGGAAATGGAGCATATTTCTGGGGCCTCAGTTGAGAAACAAGTTATTTATTTCACAGGAAAACAGTCTACTTTGTCCTACTGAATCATTCTTACTTTTACTTTACATTTATCCTCTTCACCACTGATTGACTCATTAGCCATTTGAGAGGTCAGTCACGTCTCTATTAAGCACTGCTTCCAAGTACTGTACTGAGCATGAACTGGCTCTGGAATGTATTGGAACCTGCTCCAGTGTTGGTCAAGTCTGGCCTTGAAAGAGCTCACACTCGGTGCTGTCCGAACATTCTGGCAGATTGTTCCAAGGGTTCACAATTCTCACTCCGAAAAAGTTTGCCCTCACTGGTTTCTGGACTTGTGGCTTCTTCAACCTTGAGCTGTGACCCCTTATGGGGTGGGCATATGCCAGCTCCAAGTTTGTAAATTCGACTGAGTAGTGCCTTCTGAGATGTTTATACACTTCAATTAGGTCGTCCCTTGCCTATCTATAGTATAAACTAGGCAGTTGCAGGCACTTTAATCTTTCTGGGTAGCCGAGGTTTCATAGAGCAAGCACCAGTCTGGTGGCCCTCCTTTGGACATTTTCAATCAATTGACAGTCTAGCATATCTCGGGGACCAGATGGGGTGACAACACTCCAGATGGGGAAGCACCTCAATCTTGAAGATCATGATGAGGGATGGACCATCTAGATATCTAAACGACCTTCTTATAAGACCTATTAATTTCGTTACTTGATTCACCTCCTTCTCACAATGGCCCAAGAACTTAAGTTCCTTGTTGACA